TTCCAGTGTATCCTCCAATACTTACTGTGTGACACTGGGCAAATCCTTTAACTTCTATCAATCTTAGTGTCCTTATCTATAAAATGGAGATAATGATAGCACCTACCTCTCAGGATTGTGAGGATCAAATAAGATAATATTTGTAAAGCACTTTGCAAACCTTACAATGTTACATAAATGCTAGATATTGTTATTAAGCATAAAGGCAGGGTCAATTTTGTAAATCAATCAAACCAACCCATCCCATTTAACCCTGATACCTCAACCAGGTGAGAACACTTATTTATTGAACTAATACATCATAAACTTTAGACTAAGTGTGGGAAAAGTCCTTGATTAACTGGAGTAATGTTGTACAGGAGATGTGTTCAGATTGGCTGAGAAAAACTTGGTCACACCCTATGGGTAATCTATTTTAAAACCGAGCGAGTTCAGTCCCAAGGGTCTGGCAGTAGAGAGGAGAGAATATTCTGACTAAACCCCTGAGAAGAAATTTATTTTCAGGGCAAAGGGAGGAAAAGTGTAGCCCTGGGCCTCACTCTCTAGCTTCTCCCTATCACTCCTTGATTGGAGAAGGGCGTTGTAAGTTTTGAAGGGTCTACAGGATTTTGGGCTTCCCATTTTACCATCAGCATCTTAATAGCATCCTCCGAACAGCTGATGGTAGTATCTGTATCAGAAACCAAGGACAGATTAAATGAGGTGAGAGAAGCAGATTCAAGACTCTACAAAAACCCTAGCAGAAATACATCACCCTACCTAAGGGGAGCATATTGAGGATGCTAATGAAAAGGACTTCGAAACACTATAGTCCTCCTTTGACTATTGTACTGTCTAAGCTTGAACCCCCTGCACTCTGTATGCACTTTGTCACAGTCTTGGGTGAGGGGGAGGAAGATGTTCTGTACCAACTATATTACTATATATCCCTTCCTAAAAACTTGTTACATCCTGCTGACTAATTGATATCAATGGATAATTATGAAAGAAAGCTAGGGGCTTGTGAGCTAAAGCATTAGAAAAACAACTCAGTTAATAAACATTTATTAAGCATTTACTATGTGCCAGGCACTGTGACGAGGACAAAGAGCACCCCTGACATTGGGGACAGCCAGAGAGAATGCCCAGAGCTGAGAGATGGAGTGTGTTTGTGGAGTAGCAAGGAGGCCAGAGTTACTGGATTGCAGAGTACAAGGTTAGGAATAAGGTGAAAGACTGGAAAGGAGGGGGCTAGGTTAAGAAGGATTTTTGAACACCAAACAGAGTCTTTTGTATTTGATCCTGAAGGCAACAGGAGGCCCTCGGAGTTTGTTGAGTATGTGTGGGTAGGTGGGGGTCAGAGCTGCACTTGAGGCCAATCATACTGGTGGCTGAATGGAGGATGGACTGGAGTAGGGAGATTGAGGCATGCAGGCCCACCAGCTGACTATATATCAATGTTTATTGACTGACAATCCCGGTGTAGGGGCTAATTCTACCTGAGGGGATGTATTAGCATATGTCGTCTGGGAACCCACCCTGCCAGTATAAATGGGGTCAGGAAGATAAGTCCAAGCTCACTTGGGATATATACCTAAGTTTATACAAGAAGTAAGCATCAGAAGTAGGATTTGAATCCAGGTCCTCTAACTTTAGAATCTAGGTAGCATTGTCAAGGAGGTAAAGTGTAGTGCAAGAGGGCAGAAGAATTGCACCATTGAACACGTCCTTACTGTCATGCTGGTAAGCACAGGTCTCTAACTTTAGTTTGGTTGATGGGGGAAGGCAGAGGCAAATAGCTAGGCCTATGCTAGGTCCTCCAGAACCTTGCTCTCTCTATATAACCTACTTCTTACACAGTTATGAATAATAGCTTTCAAATACAGCACAGCTTCTCCTCCTGGGAGCCTTGAGGCTCTGTTACTCCTAACCCCTGCTCTTCAAACTCAAAGCCTGAGTATTGTGGTGTTCCAATTGGTCATCATTGCATCAGTCTTCCTCTTGAGTGATCCTTATTTTCATTTTCCTCTCTGTGACTGTCTTATGAGTCAGCTTTAACACGCCCTCCAGACCTGGAAGGGTGAGAGGGGATTTCAGTTTCCCACATTTTAGTTCCTTAATAGCTTTGCACAGACTGCAGATTTTGCCCTCTCTGTTGAAACTGTCAATAAATACTATAACTTACTGTTCAAGGGGAAAAACACCAACAGCAACAACAACAGCAAGCAATTAAATGGGTACCCATGACTTTACATAAGGCCATGAGGTTTCTGGCCCATGAGTTGTTCTTTGTATCATTACCCAACCTATTTCTTACATTGAGAGGAGAGTCATTGCTTAGCTTTCTATCAATTTGTATGTAATCCTGCATGTTTAAATTTCAGCTCTTCAGCAAGGACTGGGATACATGAGAGCACACATATCCTTTTTGTTACAAAACAGATGTCACTAAGAAAATAAGAAGTCTTGGTTGCAGTCTAAAGGTCACTTTTAAAAACGTGTCTTTTTTTAAGAGTAGGGCAGTTCTGAAATGGTATATCTGGCAGTGGTGATGGTGGAAGAGTTTTTTGACTATCAACCCCAAGTCCTTTCTCCTTTCAGGGTTGCAGTGGAGGACACGGCGAAGGAGAAGAAAGAAAAGCCCATGTAGGGTCGTATTGTAAGTCTGAAGGATTATATAGGTCCCTGAAGGCTCTAGTGAGCCCATACAGCTTGTGTCAATGTAATATTAATATTCTGATATTATGTTATTCTCAGCACTTGCATGGGGCCTGGGAGTTTTCACTTTTTTTTTTTAGAAGATACTTAGACATGAAACACATTCTGACACTTCCAGGGAAACTTTATTATTCCAGGGAAAGATTTATTAAAAGTATGTGACATGAACATGGTTTCTGTAAATTCAGAGTTTAAATAAATAGGCCATAAATTCCATATACAAATCTTTTTTTTTCTTTTAATAGCAAAGTTAGCCTATAGCTTTTCTACCTTCTTCAGGGATTCATAAATAGGCTCTGGTTCAGAGTGGGCAGTGAAGTGAATAGAGGTCTGGGCCTAAATTCAAGAAGATTCACCTTTGTGAGTTCAAATCTGGCCTCAGATACTAACTAGCTGTGTGACCCTGGGCAAGTCACTTCACCCTGTTTGCCTCAGTTCCTCTCCTGTAAAATGAGCTGGAGAAGGAAATGGCAAACCACTCCAGTAGCATTGCTAAGAAGACCCCAAATGGGATCACACTCGGAGAAGACTGAATAACTGGTTCAGAGTCAGTGTGGTACAGTGGAAAGGCTGGAAATGGTGTTAGAGAGCCCAACTGCCTGTCCAGGGTTCAAATCCCTGTTCTTCCAATTATGTAAGACCAATGGGCAAATCATTTCACTTCCATTGTATTGTGAATTACCTAATTGTAAATCACCTAAATTTTTTGCAAAGCTTTTTTTTTTTTTAATCTCAGACTAGTCTTGAGGATATGGATTAGATGAGAACACAATTAGATGGATACAGAACTGGTTGGCTGGGCAGATTCAGAGTACTTGTTTTGGTTCACTGTCAACATGGCAGGCTATCATCAGTGGAATACCCCAGAGACATATCTGTGCTTAGTCCTTTGCTGTTTAACATTTTTTTAAATCAAAAACGAAGTTTAATAACCCTGCAGGTCCACTTCCACCTATGATCCATAGGGTCCAATCCTATTTCACTTAGCCAAATCTCTTTAAGGGTGCTTCAAGAAGGGAGAGAAGTAAAATCACATTTTTCGAACCAAAAATAGAGATACATGGTCTGACAATAAGGATATTAAAAGCTCATTAAAAGTGTGATTTCATTTTTTGAAACTGAGAAAATCCAGTCTGGAAAATCCAGTACATGTCACCATGAAACATACAAATGTAACACAAGCCTTTTTTCCCACTTAGTACTTGAATTTGGGCAAGTTATTCCAAGTTTCTGCACCTGTTTCCTCATTTGTAAAATGGGAGGGCTAGATGAGGTGGCCTCTAAAGTGACCTTCCTACTCTAAATGCATTACCTAGAGGCAGATAGGTGAAGTGGACAGAGGAGTCAGGAAGACCTAGGTTCAGACACTTACTAGCTGTGTGCACCTGGGAAAACCATTTAACCTATCTATCTCAGTTTTCTCATCTATAAAATAGGGATAATAATTGCCACTACCTCCCAGGATAGTTGTAAGGATAAAATGAGATACTGGCAAAGAGCTATGCCGGAGCTATGTATGACGATGACTCTGCGTAGGCCCACAGGGCACCTTATCAAACCTCTACATTTTCGTGCTTGGCCAAGGTCCAAGGCCAGCTGAGAGAAGGGGTTAGCCTGGGTAACGCTGCCTCTCCTCATTCCCGTTCCTTTCCCTTCCTGGGTGTTGTCTGAATTGGCTCAGAGGCTGGCCCTGCTTCCGGCTAAGATGGTTTACAGATCGCTGCCAGGATGGAGAGCAGGGCCAAGCCCACCGAGAGCACATGGGCCCGCATCCTGAGCCCCCGCGGGAGCCGAGCTCAGCCCCAGGGGGGCCGGCCTGCCTGGGAGTGTCACTAGCACGGTGCCTCGTGGCACGCTTGCTCCCTGCCTCTGCAGTCCGGCCCAGCATGGCTGTCCCGCGTGGGCTCCTGAGACCGAGGAGGGGGGTGGCTATGATCACATGCCGGGGCCAAGGGTCCGCATCTCCGCCCCCCGTCACCCAGGGCCGCACCACCAGCTCCGCAGGGAAGCCCGACCCCGGCTCTCCGGGCTCAGCCAGGCAGCCCGGCCCGGAAAGAAGGCAAGGCTTGGCGGGGCGGGGCGGAGCTTAGGCAGCGAGGCTGTGCGGCGGCTCGGCGTGGCTCCGTTCCGGGAGCCGGCGCGGTCCGCTCCGGGTTTCTGCGCCCACCTCCTCCCCCACCCGGCTCGGCCCGGCCCGGCCTTTCCTCTCTGTCTCTCTCCCTCTCTCCCTCCCTCCACCGCCCACCCTTCCCCCTCCCCTCCGCCCGAGCCGCCGCCTGGGGCCGATCCGCGCAGCTCCGAACATGGCTGAAGTCGGGGAGGACACGGGCGCCCGGGCCCTGCTGGCACTCCGCTCGGCGCCCTGCAGCCCGGTGCTGTGCGCCGCGGCCGCCGCGGCCGCCGCCTTCCCCGCGGCGCCGGCGCCTTCGCTGCCGCCTCAGCCCC